TAATGAACTAGCAAGCTCATGCCCACACAGAACCAGATACCTACTCAAGAACTTTGTTATCAAGTAACACAATCTTTTTGCAACACACGATTTATTTTATCACCTTATCACGCCTTTCATCGCCAGTACTAAATGTCACGTAGCATCTATTTCTTACTGTTTTTATATCTCATAGTAACCATAACGTCGCTTTTACTATAGCAACTGTTTGTAAATACCATAGCAACTCCAAGTTAGCTTTTATTGCCAGTTCTTGTAATCTAACGGTCATTCGTGAATATTGCCTGATGAGTGTGGCCATTCTTTGACCACATGAAACAGCGTTGTCGCAATAAAACGATGAATTGAAATCTTAGTACCATTGATCATTATAGTCACTGCTCCTCCCAGAGTTGAGCGCTGTCCAAAATTTATTCTATTCAAGTTTAAGAAGTATATATATATATATATATATATATATATATAAATTCATTAAAAACTGAATCATTGGATAATGCAATTCTAGCATTTTGATTGGCTTAGCCATTATGGTATATGAGCTATTATACCATGCTCTTCATATATGGTCGGTGTACACGTCAGTTTAAAATTGGAAGCCAGCTAGATTTTTTTTCGCGAAGGATAGAACGGCGCCCGAAGCAAATCGTTTTAATTCATTTCTTAGAATACTAGAAATGCAATTTCATCGAAAGAAAAAAGACAAAAACAAACAAAAAAGCCACAAGAGCTTGTTTGAAAGTTTGTCGAAAAACACATGAAAACACATGGAACTAAAGTACCTTGACCAGCTCCGAAAGAAGACAAGTGTTGTTTCTTCATGATCGCGAAGCCATTCGCCGATCGAGTCACTCGCCGACAGATAACTGCGGCGTGTTTATCCGACATCAAGAATATAAATCACAAGTAACCAGCTACAAATACAGGCTATGCAGCCATTCACTAGAGCAATCGAGGCGGCAGTATAGCTTCTTTTCTCGTTCAGCAAAACCAGCTTGTGGCTTCAAACAACTTCATAACAAGCGACCGAGCTAATAGTTTTTCTCCGTTGTTCTTATAACTACAGCGAAAATCCAATTTCACAGTAATTTCGACGGCTGTCACTTAAAAATTCTTTTCCTTCAAATTATCTGTCAGGTTTTTTTAGCTGTTCTGCTGTGTAAAATCCTAGAATCCCGATGAGTTTTTCAAAAACTAATGTTCATCGCTGCAATGTTTTGAATTTTCATTCACGAGAGCTTGTTGGATATGAGATGATTATAGCCAACTCGGCGCTACGCGCCTCGTTGGCTATCTATCATCTAATATCCAACGCGCCCTCGTGGAATAATTGTTAAATATGTAATATATCTAAATACTTGTATTCTGGGTAGGACGTATTTCGTAGAGCGCTCAATTCATTTAATTGAAGAACATTGACTATTAATAATCACAGGAGTTCAGGCTTCAGGAGTAATCATTGATCGTTTATTGCGACAGTGCTGTTTCGTATGGTCCGAAATTGTAGGACCACACTCGTCAGCTGGCAGTAAAATATAGGGATGCGTTAAGAGATAGTATCTAGGTAACAGATGGATTGTGTCATAGTTACGTTACTCTAGAGTTCTGAAGTACATATCTGTTTCTGTGGGGGCACGAACTCGCTAGTTCGTTTCGCCTGTTTAGGCTACAAAGCTCTTTTTTACAAATGATGATGAACTTTTCATAAAGACAAAGATTACATTTTTTTTGCTAATGTTGCTATAGGGTTTACATTTCGTTAAAACTTTCCATTTTATCTGGAAAGGTTTCTTAGAGTCTTGTAAAGTCCAAATATATTTTGAGAGTTCCGTTTCATTTCTTCTGTTCGAGCATCGAAAGAGGACTGATGGTTTCTGTAACTTTCTTTAAAGTTTGTTGCGAGTCCGACGTAGGTTTCAGTTGTCGTCGCTGTGGTTACAGTGGCTTGGTAGATTACATTTGATTGGAGGCATTTTCCTTCGAGTGGACAATCTGGTTTCTTTCGTTTCCAGTTTATACACTAATATAGACACAGACGATGGACTTGCTATAATTGAGGAGGAACTGGCAAAAACTGGTCAGATCCAACCTTCCGCAAAAACCCTTACTTGCCTCCTCCAAAAAGTCCTCAAACTGAACAATTTCGCATTTGACAACCACAATTTCATCCAAATTAAGGGTACAGCAATGGGCACTAGGGCGGCACCTAATTCTGCGAACGTGTATATGGGCCGGTTTGAAGATACAGTTGTATACCGAACGGGATGGTCCCACTACATAATTGACTGGGTAAGGTTCATCGACGACATTTTTCTCATCTGGAAAGGAGACGAAAGTTCTCCCACTACCTTTATAAAGTACCTCAACGGTGTTGTACCATCCATTACATTCACCCATGAAATATCTTACCAGTCCGTGAATTTCTTGAATACAAAAGTAATAAAAGATGTACAAGGTAACATCAGCACAGACATTTTTCAGAAACCAACGGATACTCACCCATACCTACATTGAACCTCGGCGCACCCACCGCATTTAAAGCAAAGTATATACCATACAGCCAAGCCTTAAGACTTAGAAGCATATGCTCATCAACGCGCGTACTAGAGCAAAGAATATTGGAATATTCCAATTTTTTCGTGGCGTGTGGGTATAAAAGAGATAGGGCGCTATCTGAAATGCGCAAAGTTCTGACACAAGACGAGAGTTTGCGGGCGAGAGAGAGGCATACCACCAACCGCATACCCTTAGTAACCATATACAATCCACGCACCTCATACATTGCTGAAGTGGCGAACAGGAACTGGCACTTCCTCCAATCAAAGGAAAGACTGGCTCACATATTTAGAGAACGAACAATCATCGCATATAGGCAGTCAAAAAGCCTACGCGACATACTCATCAGTACCAAATTAACAGGCAGAACCCCTGACGGACATACCACCACTATAGGTAGCTGTGGTCCTTGCAATAAACCGAAATGTAGTTGGTGCGTGGTCATAAACAAGACCTCTACTTTTTACGGGCACGTGGCGGGATGGCAAGGTGTTTGACATATTCCATACAGTGAATTGTCAATCAATCTTTGTGATTTATATAATTGTGTCGAATTTGTAGATTACAATATGTAGGGAAGAGTGAGACAGCTTTCAACCTGCGCCTTAATAATCACAGGAACCATAATAAGAAAGGGGTCAACAGCTGCGAACTATCAGAGCACTTTCTCCACAACAGCAGATGTCGTGACTTTGGCAAAGACGTCACAATTACCATCATTGAATAAATCAAACGG